ATTGTTTTATTTATTTGTGTTATTATTTTATTTATCTATTTATTTTATTGTTTGTTTTATTTTATTATTTATTTTATTATTACTCTGGTTGTTTGCTGCTGTTATTATTATTTTATCTTTATTATTATTAATATTATTGATTGCTGGTGTTGCTGCATCTGTTGCTGCTGCTGCTGCTGCTGCTGCTGCTGAGGGTTTGTCTTCTTCACACTTCGCTTTTTATTTTTTTATTATTTGTTTATTTATTATTATTTTTGTTGGGTGTCTGCAATTAATATATTTATATTGTGCTATTTATTTTTTTAATTAATTATTTACTTAATTTTGTTTATTTATTTATTCTTTTTTATGTTTAATTTGTTTTGTTTGTTTTTTATTTATTTATCTGTCTCTCTTCTCTTCTCTCTTATTGTTTAATATTTTATTAAATATATTTATTTTTTATTTTATTTTTTTTGCTTTTGTTTGTACAGCTGATGGCTACAGCGACGATGGAGAGGAGTGGTGGGGCGGCAGCAGCGAAGACGAGCAGCAGCAGCAGCAGCAGCGACGGAAGCAGCAGCAACAACGGCGAGGAAGGAGACAGCTTGAGGACGAAGTGTCTCCTGCAGCAAGGGGCAAGAAGGCGCGTAGAGGAGACACAAGTGCTGCTGCTGCTGCAGCAGCAGCAGCAGATAACAGGGCCCAGGGAATGCGTTCGTTGCTGCAGCACTTCAGCAGCATGGCAGCAGCAAAGACAGCAACAGCAGCAGCAAACCCTCAACCAACAGCAGGCTCTGCAGCACAACTAAAATGCCTAACTTCAATCGAGCAGTCTCTGAACTTAGACGAAGAAGATGAAACAGACGGCGAACTCCAACCCAGCAGCAGCAGCCGCAGCAGCAGCAGCAGCAGCAGCAGCAGCAGCAGCAGCAGCAAGAACAGGAGAGGCCCCCTAATTATAAAAGCCTCCCTATCTGCCCTGACGGGTCTCTGCCTTTCTATCTTCTTGATGTCTGGGACGAAGCAGCAACAGGAACTGTCTACCTTTTCGGCAAGGTATGGTCTCTAGCAGCACAGCAGCAGCAGCAGCAGCAGCAGCAGCAGCAGCAGGAGGTGTCTCCTCCGCAGAGTTGCTGCGTGGTGCTGCGGGGTATGATGCGCCCCCTTTACTTTGTATTGCGGAAGCAAGTGCCCCTTGATGTAGCAGCAGAAGAAGAAGAAGAAGAGACAGCAGCAGCAGCAGCAGCAGCAGCAGCAGTGCAGCAGCAACTGAAGGCGATTGAAGCAAATGCAGCAGAGTTTGTACGCGAAGACGGCTTAAGACTAAAAAAGAAATATAATTGGGGTGTATTTAAATGTAAACTAACGAAGCGCAATCTTTGCTTCAATACACCCGGCTTAAACAAAAACAAAGATGTACAAATAATAAAAGCATACTGCCCTGGAGCTGCTTCTTTGCTGCAGCAAGGAGACATATCTGGGCTTACATATACGCATGTCTTCGGTTCTTCATCCCCTTTATCGGAGATCTTTTTAATTAAAAGAAAGATAAAGGGCCCCTGCTGGTTGAAGATTATTAACTTCTCATCAGTTAGCACCCATGCCGAAAAGACTTCCTGGTGTACGCATGAAGTCTTAGTCAACAACCCTAAACATATACGCTCATGGGGGGCCCCTAATAAACATATCAAACAAGGGGCCCCTCAGGGGGCCCCTCAGGGGGGCCCCCCTGGGGGCCCCTCACCAAACCCCTCAGGGGCCCCACAAGGGGGCCCCTCAGGGGGCCCCTCAGGGTCTGGTATGTGTGTAGAGGGTGATGGTCCAGTGCCTCCTTTACCGCCTTTGAATATATTATCTTTAAATATAAAATCTGTTTCTATAGGGGGTAATAATGCAGAAAGTCGCGCTGTTTGTTTAGCTTCCTTTTGCTTGCAGAAACATTTTGATATTGAAGACCCGCAAGCGGTGCCGGAGCTGTCTAAAGATAAAATCTTTTGTGCTGTGAGGCGTGTTAAATGCAACAGCAACAGCAGCAGCAGCAGCAGCAGCAGCGGTTTTGGGGGTGGGGGTTTCGGGGCTGTTCCTGCTGCTGCTGGTGCAGCAGGAGCAGCAGCAACAGCAGCAGCAAATAAGATATCTGGGCGTGCAAAGGTTTTAGGTTTACCTCCTTCGTTTGAAGATGTGGCAGCAAAGAGCTGCGTACATGTATACGAGACAGAGAAGGCTTTGCTGCTGAACTTGCTGCAGCGGGTGCATGCTGCTGACCCTGATATTATATCGGGACACAACATATTTGGAGACAGCTTAGAGCTGCTAGCGCGTCGATGCAGCGCTCTGTCTCTTCCCTTGTGGCATAAGGTTTCACGCTTAAAGAGGCCTCGTAATCAGAAGCCCCCCTGCAGCAGCAGCAGCAGCAGCAGGCAGCAGCAGCAGCAGCAGCAACATACTCATCTACGTGCAGGAAGGATATTTACTGTAGGCCGTCTTGTTTGTGATACATACTTACAAGCTCGCGAGTTGCTGGGGCATAAGACAAATTATGAATTGCTCCCTCTCCTTAGAGAGGCATTCTACAACAACAACAGCAGCAGCAGCAGCAGCAGCAGCAGCAGCAGCAGCAAGATGTCTGCTTATCAGCGGCAAGTTGTTGCGAAGCTGCAGCGCATGCAGCCGTTTCCTTATGATGATTTTCTGTCATTCTTCTGGGTGCAGAGCCCGTCTTTGCTGCTGCATGCAGCAAATCTTTGTTTACTTGAAGCCTATATGTCTTTGGTGCTGCAGCAGCAGCTCAACTGTCTCAGCATCACTCGGCAGCTGTCTCTAATTGCGGGAAACCTTTGGGCTCGCTCGTTGCAGAACGCAAGAGCTGAAAGAAATGCCTTTCTTTTGATGCATGCATTTTATGGAGACAAATATATTTATCCCGACCCAGTAGATACAAGAAAAAAGTTTAAGGGGGGCTCAACATCCGTTGCTGATGCTGATGCTGCTGCTGCTGCTGCTGCTGCTGGCGATATGAGTGATGGTGAGGGAGACCCAGCAACAGCAGCAGCAGCAGCAGCAGCAGCAGGAGAGGAGCGCAGCAGCAGCAAAGGGCCTTCATACACTGGAGGCCTTGTCTTAGAACCCCGTGCAGGTCTCTATGATTCTTTTGTGTTATTGTTAGATTTTAATTCGCTTTACCCGTCTATTATTCAAGAGTTTAATATATGTTTCTCAACTGTACAGCTGCCTCAACTGCATGCAGACAGCAGCAGCAGCAGCAGCAGCAGCAGCAAGGTAGAAGACGAAGACGATTTGTGTATATATGCTATAGATTCATCGCCTGGTGTTTTACCTCGTGTATTGAAGCAATTAGTAAGTAAACGAAGACAAGTAAAGGCAGCAGCAGAGAAGGAGAGCAGTGCAGCAAGACGTGCAGCCCTTCATGTGCAGCAGCTAGCGCTTAAGCTAACAGCAAATAGCCTCTACGGCTGCTTAGGCTTCAGCGGAAGCAGATTCTATGCAAAAGCAATTGCTGCTTTTATTACTCAACAAGGCCGCAAGGTGCTGCTGACTGCTAAAGAAAGAGTGGAAAAACAAACAGGCTTGACTGTGCTGTACGGAGACACTGACTCTCTTATGGTGAGCTTATAATATAATAATAATAATAGTAATAATATAATAGTAATATAATAGTAATAGTAGTAATATAATAATATAATAATATCATAATAGTAATAGTAGGTTTAACTGTGCTGTACGGAGACACTGACTCTCTTATGGTGAGCTAATATAATAATAATAATAATAATAATAATAATAATAATATAATAGTAATAGTAGTAATATAATAATATAATAATATCATAATAGTAATAGTAGGTTTAACTGTGCTGTACGGAGACACTGACTCTCTTATGGTGAGCTAATAATAATAATAATATAATAATAATAATATAATAGTAATAATAGTAATATAATAATATAATAGTAATATAATATAATAATATAATAATATCATAATAGTAATAGTAGGCTTAACTGTGCTGTACGGAGACAC